AGTAATATATTTACTGAGAAAAATGTTGATGTGTTCAATACTTATTTTACCCGCTGTGTCTATCAATATCTGAGTAACATCTAATTCAGTGAATCTGTGTCAGAATCGTGGCCATTTAAGTGCTATTTATTTCCTTTTCATTGTTTAATGCAAACTGTAAAAGCTGCGCAAAATAGTCAGTTTCTATCAATTAAAACTGTAGTCAAGATGCATCAGGTTCACATTGAGTTGTTAATAACCGACGAGCATCTGTTGAATTTCAGATCAAAGCAACAACAGGTCCAATGTTGGACTGCCCGTAAAAAAAAGTTGCACAAGACAGGTGTTTGTTGACTTAACTGTTACACCGAGTGAACTCCACAAACTCTTCATCGTCACTGGGAAAAACAATTTTGGCCCCTGTACAGAGTTTGACATTGTGACATAGTAAAATGAGTCATGGAGTTGCTCTGACAAAACAATAAAAAGAAAAAAAGAAATTGTACCTTTTTGGTTATGTGGTGTAAAATGTTATTTTCGGAGTAATCGACTAAAAAAAACTTTTAACTAGTAATGTTACTTTTAAAATACTGCATTGTTTGCTGTGTGTGGCGTAATATCAATCCAAACTTTAACCAGATAATTCAGATTGGTCAAAGTGGAGTACTGTGGAAAGATTATGAACATTTAACATCTTACCTGTTGTAGATAGCTTCTTGAACAACCTCAGTAAAAATATATGAAACTTTATTCTTATCAGATGGAGGAGGTAATGGATTGAGCAGGCCAGAGAACAAAGTGGCTTGGGTCAACACGTGGACCAGTTTCTGACCCATTTAAGACCTGGGTCACCTCCAACCAAAGGTGACCCAGGTTTCACCAGAAGTGCAAACTGCGGATAGCCACATAAATCTATGTACAATCATTTGAAAAGTTTGGGCACCCTTGTTAATTTTCCTGATTTTCTTTTATAAATCATTAATTGTTTGGATTTAAAATATATAATATAAGGGACAAACACAGTGATATTTGAGAAGTGAAATGAAGTTGATATGATTTACAGAAAGTGTGCAATAATTGATTAAACAAAATGGTGCATTAATTTGGGCACCATAAAACAACTTTAACTCAATATTTAGTAKTTCCTCCTTTTGCAGAAATAACAGCCTCTAAACACTTCCTACAGCTTCTGATGAGAGTCTGGATTGTGGCTGAAGGTATTTTAGACCAYTCTTCTTTACAAAACATCTCTACTTCATTCAGGTTTGATAGTTTCTGAGAATGGACAGCTCTCTTTAAGTGACACCACAGATTTTCAATAATATTCAGGTCTGGGGACTGAGATGGTCATTCCAGAATGTTGTACTTGTTCTTCTGCATGAAGGCCTTAGTAGGTTTTGAGCARTGTTTAGGGTGATTGTCTTGTTAGAAGATCCAGCCCTGGCGCAGCTTCAGCTTTGTCACTGATTCCTGGACATTGTTCTCCAGAATCTGCTGATATTGATTGGAATCCATGCATCCCTCAACTTTAACAAGATTCCCAGTCYCTGTASTGGCCACACAGCCCCACAGCATGATGGAACCACCACCAAATGTCACTGTAGGTAGCAGGTGTTTTTCTTGGAGTGCTGTGTTCTTTTTCCTCCATGCATAACGGC